CCGACGTTCGACGAGTAGTTGCGGCTCACAACCACTAGATGGCGCACTTTCGCTTTATTTCTCGTCTCCGGATGCGACTTAAATATTTTATAAATAAACTAGACAAAGAAGACGAAATAATTAAGTAATATTTTGTCCGTCTTTTCGTAAAAGGATTTATTCGTTTTGTTTAGTAACTATTGATAAGCTGTGATGTTGTTTTTGTCAGAACGTTAACGAAAAAAAGGGGGTATACGTAAATGAATCCAGTTGGGGAATTTAGATGGGAGTTATTAATGTATCCGTTCACTATGTCCTCACCGTCATTCTCTCAATCTGCAAATCATTTTTTTACCGCCTTCCTTTATTACCGCTTTTCTTTATATATTGTCGAACTCAGAGGCACAACAGTTGGATCTTCTATCTACTTTTCTTTGAAGTCTAATAAATAAATACCTTTCAAGACAAACGAAAAGATATTCTAATAAAATCCTCTCATGAATAAGCATGATAAATAAAATTGAAATTGAAATATTTTCATCTGACTTAATGGCTCTGTCCTGAATGTTTTTATATACATATATAATAAACGTGTTCACTGTTACGATAAATTTTATTAATCATATGTCTTTAAACTTAAATTTTCCTACTGCTATCAACAGAACTCTCTTTAGCTCTATCTCTCTCCAACAGTCTCCTTCTAACTTCCTCCGGGTTATATCTTTTCCTATAAACCCTTCTAACTCTCCTGACAGGATTTACATTTCTTGTTTTTATAATTTTCTTCTTTCCGAAACTAGCAGAATTAATCACTGATGGGGCTCTGTCTTCCAGAGGCCTCAGAGATTTGGATCTTCGAGTGGCATTCATTAGGACATCCCTTTGCTCTCTGATTGTAGCATCATAAAATATTTTACCGTTGACAATTGCTTTGCGTATGTTTTCAGTTGTAGCTAGTACTCTTGGTGGTCTAACAAACGTCGTCTCGCTCACTTCTAGGCTTCTATCGGTATTCCTGTCCCTCTCTATTTCATCTTTAGTCACTTTCCGTACGACCCCTCTCCTTTCTACTGGGAATTTATTCCCGAAATTGAAGTCTAGCAAATCTTCGTCGACCGCAATGTTCTTTGAGGCCAATTCTTTCTGCGATCGCTTTTCCAAGACAACTTTCCCGTCGCGCCTTGAAGCCAACAGTCGTCCTATCTCTTCTATCTGTCTCTCTTCCGCTCGTAGAGTTTTAAGATCTGCCTTCGCACTCTTCTTAGCGTCTTCTATATCAAATACTTCAATAGACTTAGAGAAATCTAATAGTTTATCATCAATTCCATCGATAAGATCCATTTTATCTTCGTCCTTGTCAGAAGTTGTGCTTTCTGTCTCGCTCTTATTTACTCTCTCAATGACTTCAGTGACTTCACTAACAGTTTTAGCTGTTGTCGTTTTGTCGATGTCGATATGAAATTCTTCGTCGTGTTCGCTAATGTTACGTTTCTTCTCGCCTCTATGGTTGTCGATGATTTTTGGTTTGTCGATAAGAGTCTGTTGGTCTGGCGAGTCCCTATCGTCTGGTAGGTCTCTGGATTCCGCAGGTTTTGGCATTTCAGTGGTTGTCGTTTCGTTGTATCTAAAATAAGTCATGTTTGGTGGAGGACCTTTGTGTAGGTAGGCCACCGGCCAGTACCTGAAACCGAAAGGGCATTAGGTTTGAATTGAAAAATATCATAAGTGCAATATTCAATATTTACAATTAAATCCTGTTTATTTTATTTTATCTGGATGATTTTGAGGTATGCTCGAGTGACTTTGTACACACATCTTATTTACTTTGAAAGTAGGCTTAGATTGATGATTAACCCATACCTCGGCACACCGAGTCCATCACGCGTACCTCCTCCCTGTGCTGGCGCCCAGGATCCGGGAGCAGGTCGAGAATATTCTGGTTTTATATGCGGCGGATCTGATGTCGGTACTCTTGTATACCCTGGAATGTTCGAGTTAAAAAGTCGGTACTAACTACATTAGGGAGGTAATTGAACGCAGTTTACCCATCAAGGTCATGGGTTACCTTCCACCCGACGACCCTTGAAATAAGAAGTGTTTTAATGCGCAGCGCTTTTGTTACAGTTTCAAATGGGGGATAAGCTCGGGGTTTACTTGATATGTCAACGGTCACCGCAGTTGATAGTTCTCACGTGGGCTATTACGGCGTGGCACAATCCTCCTTGAGATATGAGGTCAAATTTTCAATGAAATGTATGCCTGCTTCGAGTCATAAATAGATATAATGGTTCACAACACCACCGCTAAGTAGTAAATCAAAAAAATACCTGGTAAGGGATTCCCGTATCTATCGTAATACGCCTGAGGACCGTTTTTGTATAATTCATCCCAGTATCTTCTATCAGCTTCAGATAGATACGGACCAAGTCTATTTCCGTGTGGACGGCTCGGACCCGAAGGTTGAGAGGTTTCGTCTGGAAGACATGTTTTTTGTAGGCGCTATATTATTTGGTGAGTCATAGATAATAATCACTAGCTTAGACCTAAGAAGAAACTGTCGATTTGTTCCTTTGAACCGAATAAAAACTAGCGATGGATACTGTCAATGGACCGCATTATTCAGGGATCATAATTATATGTACATAATTTGTATATACCACAGAGAAAAGTCTATAAAGGTTTCTAAAGATCTAACACCAACCCTTAAATGTCAAATCATGAAGTGAATGTCTAGGCAAAGATTGAAACTTATCTACCTAGTCAGGTCATAAGTATTGTCATACAGTAAAAACTTTTCTTTTAGAATGCTGGCCACAAAAAAGTTTATTGAATTCGCATTTCGAATTGTTCATGAAAATTAAAATGTATACTTTTAGAATTGTACTCATTTTTAAATATGGAGTGGACACTTAAAGAAGACCGTGTTGCAGTTATTACGTTGCATCGTTGCGGTTACGCGCCAATTCAAATTTTTAACATACTGAAAAATTTGAATATAACCAAAAGATTCGTTTATCGTACCATCAAACGATACAATAAAGACTCTAGTGTAGATGACAGGTCAAGAAGTGGTCGCCCTCGGTCTGTTAGGACTCCAGCAGTGATAAAAGCTGTGAATGCGCGAATTCAAAGAAATCCTGTTGGCCCTTCAGATGGGGTTAAGCAAAACCACGGTGAAAAGGGTGTTAAATGAAGACTTAGGGCTTCGGGCATATCGAAGAAAAACAGGACATCGTTTGAATACTCGTCTAATGGACCTGAGACTGAAGAGATGCCGCGCTTTGTTGAAGCGGTACGCGGGAAAAAAATTACGGGAAATTCTTTTTTCGGATGAAAAAATTTTTACCGTAGAAGAGAGCTACAACAAACAAAATGATAAGGTGTACGCACACAGTAGTGAAGAAGCGAGCAACCGTATTCCGCGTGTCCAACGAGGTCATTTTCCATCCTCGCTCATGGTATGGTTGGGAGTTTCTAATTGGGGCTTAACAGAGGTACATTTTTGTGAGAAAGGTGTAAAAACGAATGCAGTTGTGTATCAAAATACAGTCCTGACGAACCTTGTGGAACCTGTTTCTCATACCATGTTCAATAACAGGCACTGGGTATTCCAACAAGATTCGGCGCCAGCTCATAGAGCGAAGAGCACACAAGACTGGCTGGCGGCGCGTGAAATCGACTTCATCCGGCACGAAGACTGGCCCTCCTCCAGTCCAGATTTGAATCCGTTAGATTACAAGATATGGCAACACTTGGAGGAAAAGGCGTGCTCAAAGCCTCATCCCAATTTGGAGTCACTCAAGACATCCTTGATTAAGGCAGCCGCCGATATTGACATGGACCTCGTTCGTGCTGCGATAGACGACTGGCCGCGCAGATTGAAGGCCTGTATTCAAAATCACGGAGGTCATTTTGAATAAACTTTAGTGTCATAAGAATCTATGTTTTGTTAAATTCATTTTGGTATATGAATGAACATTAAACATGTGACAGAATTTATGACCTGACTAGGTATACATGTCTATTGCCGGATCACTAGATGGCGTTAAACACCTTAGTGGCAATAGTAACTAGGAAACTTTGTCATCTATTACGTTCATTTAATTAAAAAAAAACATCGAAACGAATGAGGATAGATGAAGAAGGGGCTCAGAGACGTAGATATGAAATGAAACAAAAGATAGAATATAAAAAAATGTATATATATCTACTTAAGTTAAGTTACATTTAAAATGAATCTTAAATATATTTCTTTGTGTCGTATCTGAAGCTCAGGCATCGATATGGAGTATTCTGATGCACCAAACATTCAACAAAAGGTATTACAAAGTTTAATTTTATCACATTTGATGCTTTGTTGATTTTTAATGTAACATTAAAAAGGAACAAGATATTTTGTCAATGCTTTACATATTACAAAGCTATCATTTTTAGTAACTTAAAATAAACAAAAGATATATTTAGATACATTTGTAAATTCGAATCTTAAGCGCGAGTAATTTATTAAAACTAAATTATGATTAATTCGAGAGTATGCGTCGTCATTTTGACCCAAATATATTAAATTTTGTGTCAAACTGACAATTTTTACTAAGCAAAACTTATTGTTATATTGATACATAGGAATATGCGGCACTAAGGGTCCATTGCACAGAAGCAGAATCGAAATCAAACCGAGAAAATTTATTTTTATTTAAAATATAAATATATACGTTGCAGAATGGGCTAATATCTTTATTTTATTTCGACATATTGGGTGTTTGTCTTGCTTTTGTTAATTGCTAGTCCCATGTTTAGGATTATAGCCTCTAATCTATATATATCGAAGCTTGAAAGGCAAACGTGACTAAGCGTCAATAACTGCATTGTACATAAATGATAGGCTATAACCATATTCGATGCGTAAAAAAAATATATTTCTAGGTCTATTAAAATCATTTCAATCCTACAGCTACTAGCTAGATTCTACTACAGCTAGATTCGTTAAAATAAATTTTGTTTTCAGGTATTTCAACTTTAAATTAGTCTACTGTAAAGTTCACGCATTGTCGCTTAGTCACGTTTGCCTTTCAAGCGTCGATATGTATAAATTTCATTTCATTTTGTATACTCAAAAATTACAAATCTTGTAGGACTAATAAAGCATACCTTTTTTTTTGTAGGACATTGTTTTATTTGGACAAAAAATATATTAACCTATCACGTGTACCTTTGTCCTACAGTTACTAATAAAACAACAAGTCCGGTGGTATTGAGAACTTTTGAGCGTAGGACCAAGATGACATACCACGCAATTTGTAGGACAATGTAGGTGGTAAAGTATGCAAATGACAAAAAATGCTAACCAATAAAAAAAAATCAGCTGGTTAGTAATTATTTTTCATGACCTTGTTTATAATACATGTTGAAGAGGGGGGACTCCCTAACAAAACCTTATATTCTGTAGGACAAATATATTTTCATGCTATTTAGATAATTATCTCGATAATTAACAAAGAAAAATTCGGTTAGTAACAAATTTTGAAAATTCGTGAAATTAACATAATTTATCCTTGCTATCCCTAGTAAGCTACCATTTACCAACGTTACTGTAAGGAAAAAAGTTGGGCGTCTAGTCAAAAGGAAGCTACGCATGAAAAATCAGCTTGTTAGTTATAAATGATGAAAAGTGTACCAGGGATCCTGAACAATTATGGATAAACGTGATAAATAAAATTGAAATTGAAATATTTTCATCTGACCTAATGGCTCTGTCCTAAACGTTTTTATATACATATATAATAAACGTATTCATTGTTATGATCAATTTTATTAATCATATGTCTTTAAGCTTAAATTTTCCTACTGCTATCAACAGAACTCTCTTTAGCTCTATCTCTCTCCAACAGTCTCCTTCTAACTTCCTCCGGGTTATATCTTTTCCTGTAAACTCTTCTGACTCTCCTCACAGGATTTACGTTTCTAGTTTTTATAATTTTCTTCTTTCCGAAATTAGCAGAATTAATCACTGATGGGGCTCTGTCTTCCAGAGGCCTCAGAGATTTGGATCTTCGAGTGGCATTCGTTAGCACATCTCTCTGCTCTCTGATTGTGGCGTCATAAAATATTTTACCGTTGACAATTGCTTTGCGTATGTTTTCAGTTGTAGCTAGTACTCTTGGTGGTCTAACGAACGTTGTCTCGCTCACTTCTAAGCTTCTATCGGTATTCCTGTCCCTCTCTATTTCGTCTTTTGTCACTTTCCGTACGACTCCTCTCCTTTCTACTGGGAATTTATTCCCGAAATTGAAGTCCAGCAAATCTTCGTCGACCGCAATATTCTTTGAGGCCAATTCTTTCTGCGATCGCTTTTCCAAGACAACTTTCCCGTCGCGCCTTGAAGCCAACAGTCGTCCTATTTCTTCTATCTGTCTCTCTTCCGCTCGTAGAGTTTTAAGATCTGCCTTCGCACTCTTCTTAGCGTCTTCTATATCAAATACTTCAATAGACTTAGAGAAATCTAATAGTTTATCATCAATTCCATCGATAAGATCCATTTTATCTTCGTCCTTGTCAGAAGTTGTGCTTTCTATCTCGCTCTTATTTACTCTTTCAATAATCTCAGTGACTTCGCTAACAGTTTTAGCTGTTGTCGTTTTGTCGATGTCGATATGAAGTTCTTCGTCATGATCGCTAATATTACGTTTCTTCTCGCCTCTATGGTTGTCGATGATTTTTGGTTTGTCGATAAGTGTCTGTTGATCTGGCGAGTCCCTATCATCTGGTAGGTCTCTGGATTCCGCGGGTTTTGGCATTTCAGTGGTTGTCGTTTCGTTGTATCTAAAATAAGTCATGTTTGGTGGAGGACCTTTGTGTAGGTAGGCCACCGGCCAGTACCTGAAACCGAAAGGGCATTAGGTTTGAATTGAAAAATATAATAAGTGCAATATTCAATATTTACAATTAAATCCTGTTTATTTTATTTTATCTGGATAATTTTGAGGTATGCTCGAGTGACTTTGTACACACATCTTATTTACTTTGAAAGTAGGCTTAGATTGATGATTGACCCATACCTCGGCACACCGAGTCCATCACGCGTAACTCCTCCCTGTGCTGGCGCCCAGGATCCGGGAGCAGGTCGAGAATATTCTGGTTTTATATGCGGCGGATCTGATGTCGGTACTCTTGTATACCCTGGAATGTTCGAGTCAAAAAGTCGATATTAACTACATTAGGGAGGTAATTGAACGCGGTTCTCCCATTAAGATCATGGATTACCTTCCACCGGACGACCCTTGAAATAAGAAGTGTTTTAATGCGCAGCGCTTTTGCTACAGCTTGAAATGGGGGATAAACTCGGGGTTTACTTGATATATCAACGGTCACTGCAGTGCGGGTTGTGGCACGTGGGCTACTACGACGTGCCACAACCCACCTTGAGACATGAGGTCGAATTTTCAAATGTACAATTTAGTAAACAGAAACGTATGTCTGCTTCGAGTCATAAATAGATATAATGGTTCACAACACTACGCTAAGTAGTAAATAAAAAAATACCTGGTAAGGGATTCCCGTATCTATCGTAATACGCCTGAGGACCGTTTTTGTATAATTCATCCCAGTATCTTCTATCAGCTTCAGATAGATACGGACCAGGTCTGTTTCCGTGTGGACGGCTCGGACCCGAAGGTCGAGAGGTTTCGTCTGGAAGACATGTTTTTTGTAGGCGCTATATTATTTGTTGAGTCATAGATAATAATCGCTAGCTTAGACCTAAGAAGAACAGGTCGATTTGTTCCTTTGAGCCGAATAGAAACTAGCGGCCCATGGACACTCTCAATGGACCGCATTATGCGGGGCTCATAATTATATGTACATAATTGTATATACTACAGAGAAAAGCCTATAGAAGTTTCTAAATATCTAACACCAATCCTTGAATGTCAAATTAAGAAGTGAATGTCTAGGCAAAGATTGAAACTTATCTATTTTTCTCAAATTAGGGTTCTCTCGTGTGAACCACCAAGGCTTTGAATCCGGTCGAACTGATATAAGGGTCGAAAAACATTGGCGAGAACTCTTTAAGTAGAGTAAAGTCTAGAAAACTGGCGTTAGATACAACTTCAGTTAAAAAAAAACTTATCTACATTCTAAAAATGTTATAAAAATCACGGTACTGACCTCTGTTTGCTTGCGAGGGATGCGGCACGTTGTGTTGGTGGTAAGGGTAGTATTTTTCGCTACACGGTCGCCATTGGTCGCTCTCTGGGCCCACGTAGCACCTTACAGAATAATTTACGTATTTATTTATGGCGGCACGAACGATATTATTCTTGATGACCGTGGCGCGATGCAACCATTCATATCCCTTAGAAAAGTCTCAATTATAATGAAATACGTATCTGATGCTACGATGAACAAACAACATCGTGCAGTGAAAAGAAAAACTGTGCTAAATTCATAATTTTTTTTAATTACTAGTGCATCCAAAACCATCAACATCTAGGATTACGGTACCCACACCATCAAGTTAGCACTTGGCCGTGAGTGGCAGTCTATAGTCCGTCATAATAGCTACTAACCACCTTGAGACATAAGGTCGAAATTCTTTTGGTGTCGGTACGCGTGACTGCTTCATGACCGAACGGTCCTTTTTATTAGTCCGATAGCTACGACACTTACCATGGCTTATTGAAACCTTCGCTGTACCCACAGCGATGCGTTGGCGCACAGCAGTAATCCCACGATCCTGGAAAGGAAGAAATTCTACAAGTTTTAAGAATCTACAGTCCGTCCAGTAGATGGCAAGTGACATAGTCTGCTCGTGTGTCGGGCTGCTACGGGGAGGTAGGAGGTTATTCCTCACCGATTTCTCCACCCTCCGGTTCGCAAGCCCAGTGGCCGGCGACGTGGTTCTGCGCGCAGGAAGTCCCCGCTCGGCAGGGGAACCCGGACACTGTGTAGTGGCGCCAAGATACGGCAACTGCGACCGACACGTTACTTTAGAACAGCTGATGCAATAATGATGCGCGGGGTCAATGAACCGGCACCTCGGGCGACGAAGCAACTACCCTCAATTTAGATTCGGTACTTACAATAATAAATGTTTTTATTCAATTTTCTGCGTTAGTTCATTTATGAAGCGTTATTGGAAAATTTTACCCGTGGTATAAGCTTTTTATGAGCTCTCACGGGTAGGAAATGCTTTGGGGTGGAACAATCGTTAAATGAGAATTAGGCCTCCTATCTGAAGGTAGGCGGCGGCATTAATTTAGTTGATGTCTATGAGCTCTGGTAACCATTTATGATCAAGTGGATCGTGATCTAGCCAATAAAATAGAACGAAACATTATTAAAGTCTAATTCTTCATACGAAGCCTCATCAATGCAAATAACATAAACTATAAACACTATCTTGCCTTTATCGACCATGTGTGAACGGTTCAATGATAAAGTGCATACGACCAAGAATGAATTGGGCACCAAAAATTTTTTTTTCCTAAATGACCCCTTCCATGCTCCTATGAGTCTGACTTTATTACCGATGCGGAATATATTGAGAAACATTTGAGAATTAAAACTTGCTCATATCAAAATATATGTAAATCTAAATTCAGAAAGGTAATTAATTATCCTAACATATTGTAGTACTACTGCATAAAACATAATCATCACGACTGGGGTTAAGGTAATGTAATTTTGAAAAATGACTTACTTCCATCTTCCCTGTCTCCTTCAAAGCCCGGTTTTGAGCCAGGATTGAACCCAGGTCGTCCAGGTCGGTACCCGGGTGGACTGGTAGGGACAAAGGGTATATCGTGTTCTGGAGGTCGGTACGCCGGTTTGGGCACGTATCCCGGTTTCTGAACCGGATATTCGGGTCTATAGACACTAGGTTCGACCGGACGCGGTTTGAAATTTGGCTGCACCGGATAGAGAGGCTTAAGACCGGGCCTACTGGATTCAAATGGAGGTTCATTTAAAGGGTATACCGGTTTAAGTACCGGCCCAACTGGTTCGAAATGTGGTTTAAAATCTGGACCACTTGGTTCGGCAAAACCCGGTTTGTATGATCCACTTGGTTCAATAGAATACGTTGGTTTATAAAAATGTCCACTAGTTTCGTAATGTGGTTCGAAATCGGGACCGCTTGGTTCAGGATATACCGGTTTGTATATTGTTGGTTTAAACGGTTTTATATGTCCTTCTGATATGTAAGGGGGATCTGAAACGCATAAAAGTAACAATCTTTAATCTAGTTAATTTTATAAGTAAATAACTTGAAATGCGTTATGATAATTTTTGATTACCTGATTCAGAGTAACCAGGACCAGAGGGACCTGACACTGGGTAGGACTCTTCAGAACCAGATGTCAGGATCGGTCTTGGAAGTTCGTGTGTAGGCTCACTGGAAGAAACTTGTTTTGTCAACTGTGAATCTAGGCCAGAGATTTTTATGACGATAGCAATGCTGTTCACTGTAACATTGTACTAGTCTAGTAAAGTTTAATATTGCGCCCGATAGATGAGCACTGTACAGTGTTTCAGAAAGACGACATCGTTAACTTGCTTCGCAATCTTACATAGGCTACATTGTGTAAACAATGTTGAGATGAGAAAGGTCCTAATCGCTTAGGCTTATAGCTTAGGTTACCCGTACTGTGTTGTGAGGTGTTCGGATATATACCACCGCCCTAATTATTTATGTCGTGTACCAGTGAGCTCATCACTAGTTTTTCAAACTAGGCTTTCGTGATATCTATACGCTCCTGATGGACCGGATGAATTTTTTAAAACAAGACGCGGGTTCTTTGACATGCCGATGCAACTAATAAATAATAATAATAGCACGAGGAGCGAAGAGCATTAAAGCAAATTTTTTTTATTACCTTTATAGGTCGACCGAAGAAGATATGGATGGAGTGTGTGACTGACGATATGAGAGAGAGAGGAGTGAGTGTTGAAATGACTGGCTGATAGAAAAGAATGGAATAGAAAAATTCGCTATGCCGACCCCTACTAGTGTGATAAGGTGGAGACAAAGAAGAAGAAGCCTTTTTAGGCAGACGAGCCATACGGCCTTCCTAATGATGAATAGTTATCGTCACCCATGGACATCAGCAGCCAGAGGCAGAGCCAAGCCGCTGCCTACCTTGACCAAATACAAATGGAGCAAATATTGCAGGTCTCCTATCAGACATATAATAAAAACAAGTTACTCATAATCCGGTCCGTGGATCTTCCTCCAGCACTGCCCGTTGAATAGATCGAAAGCGAAGAGCCAGTCGTCAGTGGAATGTACGTAGTCCACTCCCCTTTGAAGATCGAACAGTCTTATCTCGGAGAGGAAGCAGTTGTCGCGGTCCGGTGGTGCGTTATTTCTGTTGGAAGAACAGAAAAGCTTACTGAACTATTCTAAATAATCGTAATAAATAATATAGCTAACGAATTATAAATCCCTTCAGAAATTACTAAGAGAGAATTTGGCGATGGAGTAATTATCAAATATCTAAAATGAAGACATCGGTTATGAAGTCTTCACCAATCATGCGCAAGTGAGATAGCGATTTATCGATTACGAGCCGTTCATATACCCATCTAAACAATTAATTTGTACGCCATTACACTAGACCTGACAAGTAAATATAACTTTAAATAAGGTTTCGATTTTTTTAATTGTTAATAAAATGCACGGATAGTGTAATCAAAAGTCGTATTAAGCAACGCCATCTATCTGTCGAGGGACGAAAGCTACGACACCGTTTACGAACGTCTCGGCGGTCAGTGTCCTTAGTGCGAGTTTTTTAACGTTCTCGATAGCGTAAAAGTTAACCCAAATTTGTATGGACTTGGAAAGTTTTCCCACGTTTGCCGCTAGAGGCACTGTTCCAACCGCATACAAATTTGAGTTAACTTTTACGCTATCGAGAATGTTAAACAACTCGCGAGGTTAGCGTGGGCTCGTTATTTGCCGCACTGGGAGTTCGTACTTTAGCCATACCAATAAAACGTACGACGGCTTCTAATCTATATCTTAGTTATTGTCCATGCTTTTTTTTTTTTTTTTTTTTTTTTTTTCCTACCTAAGCTGATAGCCTTGAGAGGCTATGTCAGCGTAACCCTAACTTTTGTAGGTGAGCTCACGGGGCTCAAACCTGATGACGTTGCTAACACGAACCCTAGCAAGAGCCGTGCTTCGCAGAATCTACCACCGGATCGGAAACGCGACCCACTGAGAAGATCCGGCGAGAAACTCAGTGGGCTGTGTCTGAGAGTTAATTTACTCGTCGAGCCCTTCGTCGCAAGCGATGGGTTCGACGAGAACGGTGACCGGTGCTTGAAGTACCTAAAAGCACCGTTAGTGGATCGGGAGGATCCGAGATGATTTCCCGTACACAATACGATTCAGAATAAGATTGTTTGATACTGGTAAAATACATTTAGCATTACGTTTTTTGATGCTTAAAGCTACAAAATTAGCTTATGTTTTCTGTGAGTTCTTACACGTGATACAATTAAACATTTAGTTCGATAAGACTTTCCAACGGATATCATAATTCTTCATCGTAAATAAGATACGTATGGATGCTGAGTTCCTGAGAGCCTGGTACATGTAGTTGTTGGACAGTTTCCGGTGCACTTACTTGAAGGAGTAGCTCAGGCACCGGAAGGGCGCGTCGGTGCACGCCACCCCGCACGCCCCCTCGTCCCGGACCCTCGCGCGCCCCCGCACGGCCGAGGGGGATAGCTGAGCCGCGCTGTCGTACTGGAGGTAGCATTCTGGTGGAGTTTTTTTTTTGCTTAGATAGGTGGACAAGCTCACAGCTCACCTGGTTTTCAGTGATTACCGGAGCTCATAGACATCTACAACGTAACTGCCGCCAATCATCTTGAGAGATATATTATTATGTTCTAAGGTCTCAGTATGGTTACAACGGCTACCCAACCCTTCAAACCGAAACGCATTACTGCATCACGACAGAAAGAGGCTGGGTGGTGGTACCTACCCGTGCGGATTCACAAGAGGTCCTACCACCATGATCCGAAAATGCCATGCTACTGATTTTATTTATTTATTTTGCAAACTAACCCTACAATGCGAAAGACGAAAACTCACTTCAAGAACATAAAATGAGTATACCATCAATGTAGTCGAAGTCGATTAAAATGCATTATTATACACAACCCGAAAACTCCCGATCAGACCTTGATAAAATTTAAATGAGATACGTGAGAAACAATAGCTTTAAAATCAGAATCGGTTCACCTAGAAAAGAATGTTTGAGGTTACACACAGAAAGAAAAGGGAGAGAGGCTAGCTATAGCACTCACGTGTCCCGGGCTCGGGGTGGGCGTCGTGCAGCGCGGGCTGGCAGCCCCGCCCCGCGCGCCCCCGCGCGTACAGCTCGTGGTGGGCCGCACGGCTTGGGGGCAGCGAGGCGGGAGGGGACGAAGTCAGGATACAGTTCTCTAAGTCCTCTCCTGTAATCGGGGCCTCGAACCTAGAGCCAATTTGCGCTTTATTAGATCATCAGGAAGTAGCATTAGTGGCTCCACAATACGTCCTATGTCAAGCTCATCAGAGTCCCCTAGGCCTAGTGAGCGAACCAGTAAAACTGTCGCTTAGGTCTTATATATTTCTTCTCAGTCGTATACACTCTTGGCAGAGTAGTCGTGGTCATCACTTCGGGTGGTGGATTTGCTTCACCAGACGTCGCCATTCCTCGCGTATCGCGGCCCTTCTTGTGCACTTGTTAACGGAACCGTTTAGAGCTGCCTTTTTTTGGTCGGTCCATCGTAACGGTAATCTGCCNGAACCAGTAAAACTGTCGCTTAGGTCTTATATATTTCTTCTCAGTCGTATACACTCTTGGCAGAGTAGTCGTGGTCATCACTTCGGGTGGTGGATTTGCTTCACCAGACGTCGCCATTCCTCGCGTATCGCGGCCCTTCTTGTGCACTTGTTAACGGAACCGTTTAGAGCTGCCTTTTTTTGGTCGGTCCATCGTAACGGTAATCTGCCGCGCGGTCTTGTACCCTCTATCATGCCCTGCACCACAAGGCGCTCAACTAAGTCGTCATTCCGCCGTGACACATGCCCGAAGAAAGTGAGAATGCGACCCTGAACGATGGAGGATAGTCGCTTATATACTAGAGAATACTTATGGAGAATAATTATATAGGCTATATTGAAGAATTTACTTTAGCTACCATCAGGCTCAATTATGGAACCTTTAAGCCCAATTTGTTCACGAATAATTCGTCTCCTGACGCAAACTGAACGTTTGGTCCGCTGCGAAAACGTAACCCCCTCACCTGAAACTAAAACCTCTGCAGAAAAACCCGGAGGCCCGAATGCACTCCGCCTCGCACGCTCCCAGACCGGCCACGGTGAGGGCGGCCCTCACTGCGGCCCCGGTGACCGCAGCTCCAGACCTCACATGCCAGAAGCACTCTGTAAAAGGCCGTTTTGAAAGGACTCATTAATAGGCCGAGAAGAAAAAGGAGTTCAGCGCCGACCTAGCTGTAAATGGTTAGTTGTGTTGGAATCGATGGATACCGCCAGCCAATTTGTTAATGATACTTAGTGGAATGGTGGCGTTGGGATGCCCATAAGCCATGGTAACTTTTAAAAACCAATTGAGCTCGTTCATTCGTGTAGAGAAATGAAGAATTTCTTCCACGTGATGCATTACCACTCTTGATATCGATGATCCCAGCACGGCCCGGGAATCTGGCATCTTCCCGGAAACCAATTTTTGTATTAGAACTATAAAGCAGAGTCATGTTTTATTGGAGTCGCTATACTTAACCTCGGGTTTTTTTTGTATTTGTTCAATAGAATCAATATCATAGGAAATGTTCCACTTAGAAGCACACTTCTGATCTTCTTTATCCAGCCTATACCTCATACCAGAGAATGTTCTGAAGGATACTGGTCTTCAGACCAGTCATTATACGTAGGTCCTGAAATAAGCCCTTACCACTTTCAACCCAAGGGTCATAATTTACGTTGACACAGTCGTGGCTTTGTGGCATCGCGTACACATCGGAGCTGCTGTCCGCGGACATCTCCAAGCCTCTGTACGGCCTTTCGCTCAAAAAGCAGTTGTCGGAGCCGCGCGAATTTGAGTATCTGTGACAGTTAGTACATTGTTTTAATCAAATTGATATTAAGATGTTTGATTTCTAATTCCCAAAGCTATGTCTTCATACTTGAAAAAAAAACTTTACAGGACCCGGTTAAATACAACTTGCGTACCTAAAAAAAAAAAAAAAAAAAAAAAAAAAAAAATTGTAAAAAAAAAATTTTATGTAAAAAAAACATGCCCGCTGAGTTTCTTGCCAATTCTTCTCAGGACGGAGGCTAGTTCTTGTGAATTGGCGGTAGTTCTTTTGACGTTCAACAAGTATGTACTTTCATTTATGTTCAATAAAAAATTTTTGATTTGATTTGATTTGATTTAGGGCCAAAATAAATACCGAACAAAGCATATATCACACTCTCAATGATTACCCACTTATGACGTCATGCATGGTATCAACATTGATGCTGTGATGTCTATGGGATCCGAAGACCACACGTGTAGTACTTAAGCTCTGGAATATATAATAATAAACCCCTTATCCCGGGTAAATGTGTTCCATTCATCCCTAAAGAGCATATTCTAGACAAACGGAACCGCGGAACACGTCTAGTGTTACGGAAGTCTTCGTAGCCTAATGGATAAGACGTCCGGTGCATTCGTGTTGAGCGATGCACCGATGTTCGAATCTCAGGCGGGTACCAATTTTTCTAATGAAATACGTACTCAACAAATGTTCACGATTGACTTCCACGGTGAAGGAATAACATCGTGTAATAAAAACCAAACCCGCAAAATTATAATTTGCGTACTTACTGGTGGTAAGACCTCTTGTGAGTACGCGCGGGTAGGGTACCACCACCCTGCCTATTTCTGCCGTGAAGCAGTAATGCATTTCGGTTTGAAGGGTGGGGCAGCCGTTGTAACTATACTTGAGACCTTAGCACTTACATCTCAAGGTGGGTGGCGCATTTACGTTGTGGATATCTATGGGCTCCAGTAACCACTTAACACCAGGTGGGCTGTGAGCTCGTCCACCCATCTGAGCAATAATTAAAAAAAAGTGGAGTATCAACCCTAGCCACCATACCTGTAGCTGTAGGAGACGCATTTAAACTCCCTCTCCTCAAAGCACGATGCCTCGCATTCCACCACATTCTTGGCGTACAACGACCTCCTTATCGAACCACTACTCAGAGACATACCGGCGCTTCTCCGAGACGAGCAATCTGCAATAATAGAAGTGGATACAAGAGTTCATGGACATCACGACATGAATATCAAACCCCAGCTTCAAATCGTCACCTATCAGGTCGAAATTGCACTGTATGACAAATGTTGTCTTCTTTAAGCAGTAACATGTGATAGCATTGCGGCAGTAATAGACAGGCATGTGGCATATCTGGCTATTAGTTAGGCTAACAATACCGTCACCTATAAGGCAAAAATGCTCTGCTCTAATATACAATACAATATCTTAAAAAAAAGTCGTTGTGGCCTAAAGGATAAGACTTTTTTTTTTTTTTTTTTTATGATTGAGAGATTACTGGTGGCCCGAAGGCCTTTCCAGTTTCACCAGGACAGGTAGGCGAGCAAAGGCTCAGCCAGGAGGGGTGGGATTTGCTAACAGCTGCCCGAGCGCCTCCGAAGGAGACCTAACAACTCAAGAGCAATTGCTTCGCGAATGAATCAACTACCGGATCGGAATCGCGACTCGCTGAGAAGATCCGGCGAGAAACTCAGCGGGCTGATGCATGGGCTAGGTTGCACGTCGACCTCTTTGTCGAGTTCGACGAGTACGGTTACTGGGGTCCCTAAGCCTGCTCCTAGTATTAGAGCTGAAGGCATCTAATGCAAAGGTTATTGGATCTGATGGATCCGTAAGGACGTGTCTAGGGCAGGATAAGACGTCCGGCGCATTCGTATGTAGCGATGCAAAGGTGTTGGAATACCGCAGGCAGGTATCAATTTTTCTAATTAAATACGTACTTAACGTAAATCTTCACGATTGACTTCCAACGTGAAGGAATAACGTCGTGTAATAAAAATCAAAGCCGCAAAATTATAATTTGCGTAATTACTGATGGTAGGACTCCGAACGAGTAGGTACCACCACCCTGCCTATTTCTACCGTGAAGCAGTAATGTGTTTCGGTTTGAAACGTGGGGCAGCCGTTGTAACTATACTGAGACCTTAGAACTTATATCTCAAGGTGGGTGGTGCATTTACGTTGTAGATATTTACAGGCTCGTCCACCCATATAAGCCATAAATAAACAAAAACAATAAAATACAAGATGGTCATACCTATCCAAATACGTCCTACTATCAGCACTGAGAGACTTACTTTCATATAAAAATGCCACTTCTAAGTAGAACAATAAAAACCAGATAACACTGACCTTTCGGATCATTTTCGTCGCTTCTGCCTTCCAGCTCAAACGTGGGTCCGTAATGATGGTAGCCCCCGTAATCGAAGCTATTAAATGACGATCCTGAGCTGTTCCATTTCTCTCTTTTCCAAGACCCGTATCTTTCGTTCCACGGGGTATCCTTCGCTAGTTTGTTATAGTCGAAATCCGCCATCGATTTATGGGGCCTGATGATGGTAGTCAATGGCCTGACTCCCTCAGAGCTGTAGGCTCTGTCGATCGCGTTGTTTAAGTTCCAATGGCTCTGCGATTTGTAGTAGTCGTTTCTAAAAGTGGAGGTAGATACGATGAGCTCTATTAAGATCGCCGTAGCTAAAGCGACCAGACAAAAACGCCTTTGTACCGATCACAATAGAGATAGCTTTCCGCCCACCGTTTCCGGTTTCCACACTGATCGAGGCTCAGAAATGGAATGAAAAGTGCCCTTTATTATTTTCCTGTTAAAGACTACATTCATATTGAATTTCGGCAAAATCGATTCAATAGTCCAAAACATGGTACAGACTGGGTAACCTCTAAAATTTTATAGATATGTATATTTATTAATTGATTTCTTAAATATCTAACTAATAATTTATCATGTCTGTACAATGAAGGTCTGGCTCTTCAAGATTCTTACCTGTCCTTGTAATAGTCGTAGCCCCCATAATAGCCTCCATATTGTCCCCAGTTCTCGTGTTCTCTGGGATCGTTCTTCCTTCTTATACCTGTATGATTTGCGCACGTATTTAGAGAAACACTTTAATATTAATGTCCTTTTATTATAGAGTTATCGGAGGTTTATAAAGAGGCTATAAGAAGATTGACAAAAATTTGTGAAACCATTGATGAAACCCGATTCTGTTTTGTTGTCTCGACCTAGAATAGTACCACCCATCATTGCCAGAGGGTGTCGTGAGGATCTTAAGATATTCCCCGGAGAATGGGAATTTTCTGATTATTATGCCAGGTTGCTACGGTCACATGTACCTAAATCCGCATAGGTAGGTACCACCCGCCTGCCTAATTCTGCTGCAAAGCAGTCGCGCATTCCGATTTGAAGAATGACCGTGGTTTACTACAGCTGGGACTGCGAATGGTAGTTACATTTTAAAATTTGTTAGATAGCTTATCAAATTGGCCTCAAATGACGTCATAATATACAATTTTGATAAAAGCAACCTCCCAGTTTCATACCGAGCTGCGATATCTGCGTACCCAACGTTCAACACAAAGGTACTGTATTCATATATATTGTCAAACATCTAAGCAATTAAAAAATAAACTCACCAATCTGATAAGGAATGAAGTTCGTATCATCATGTTTTCTCTGTCCATAAGAACCGACGTATCCTCCACCCCATCTGTCTTCGGCCCGATTCTGAGTGGTCAGATAACCAGAATGCAGCAATCCTTGCCCGCGCAGACTATCAGGGCAATAAGGCTCCAAACTATTCCGGTCGCGTTCGTAAAAATCATAGTCTTTGTCTTCAGCGAAGTCTCTTCGGAGATCGAAAGCTTCTATCGGTTTTGTCATGAGCTCGCAGAGGCTTTTGCCTCGGAACGAGGGGTCCAATCTACCAAACGGAGATAGTTAAATATGGTTAAGCAGTATTAAATAGAACTGCCCAATTCAATGACCAAGAGCGTTCTTTGAGATACGATCTGATACGATAATCAATCGCCACTTACTGGTAGCAGAGCGTGTTTTAAGCTGTTACTATATACTCCATACATCGTGAGACGCGTCAAGTCTGCCCCCAGCACTATGATATCCCACCACGATGATCACGACCACGCCGTCAAGACTTTTTTTATTGCCTTTGTGTGCTGACGATCATACGGCCCACCTGATGTCGAGTGAGTACCGTCGCCCACGGACATCAGCAATGCCAGGGGCAGAGCCAAGTCGCTGCCTACCGTTTAATACTTTCCGCAAGCCTCGAAACAATTAAATGATTGAAACGATTAAAAAGATGACTTAGTCGCGAAAATTAATAAGACTTCACGCCTATGGGATGGAAATTACTGAAATTATTTAATTAAAGAAATTACTGTTGGTAAAATGTCTTGAGAGTTTCCACGGGTTGGTACCACCACCCTGCCTTTTTCTACCGTGAAGCAGTAATGCGTTTCGGTTTGAAGGATCGGGGCAGACGTTGTAATGTAAAAACTGAGAGACCTCAGAACTCATGTCTCGAGTTGGGTGGCAGCATTTACATTGTAGATGTCTATGGGCTCTGGTAGCCACAACAACAACAACAGGGGGGCCGTGAACTCGTCCACCCATTTAGGCATTAAAAAAAACCCTTATCGAATATCGCTTAGGCATATATCCCTTGCGACTTACTTGAGGGGTAGAAAATCAACTCTCTACTCGACTTAAACTTAACATCATACTTTTACTAACATACTAAAATTGAACGAACAATATGCTACCAGAAAAATAAATAATAGTTTAAAAAAACTAACAAAATACGCTTTTATCGAAAATCCAACTAAAAAATTGAAAATAATTTTTAATAAATTTGAATTAAAAATAGTGTAAGAAAAAATGATTTTATTGTAAAAAAGCGTAAGGGGCTTTTCAGGATATTATCAAAATAGCCCTTCTACTCATACCTGTTCATAAAATATTTATAACTACTGATACCATGCACCCCACGCTTTTTTTACAGTAAATTTTTTTTTCTTACACTATTTTTAATTCAATTTTTTTTCTATTTTTAGTTGGATTTTCGATAAAAGCGTATTTTGTTAGTTTTTTTTTTAAATATTATTTATTTTTATTTTTTTGTTGAATTTAATTTTTTTTTCTATTTTTGTGTTGGACAATTTTGAAATATTATCGGTCCTTAACAAGTATACCAAATTTCGAGTTAATCCGACGTTTTGAAGGGCATCAAAATCATGTTCAAAGATTCCGTTACAAACATACATACGTCTGAAGCTTATAAAAGCGTATTAAAAATGTGCAGAGATTTGTGTAGCGAACACACAATATGTACAATATACGACCAAGCGAAATGCTCCTAATACAAGCGTCCTTGAGTCTGGCCCAGATACCTATGCCACCAGCAATAAGTATTAACGCTATTATTCTGTCTATTATAAGCCCTGTAGATACCCTACCTAACTACCTGTTTATGTATTATGCAAATTACTCAGAATCAGGGACGTATTTGGTTACTAGCTTATTAGCGACTCCGTCTGCGTGGAATAGTTACTTTGACATAACGCTAAATTTTATCTCCCACTTAGGTAGAAAGTGAAAATATCTTTGAATTACAGAATGTTAAGGAGCTATTGAAACCCCTATTTTGAAACATTCTTTATTGCTGCTCCACTTGTATTGGTCTTACTGTGATGTTATATAGCCTATAAGCCTTCCTCAATAAATGGCCTATCTAACACTAAAAGATTTTTTCAAATCGGACTAGTAGTTCCTGAGATTAGCATTTTCAAATATATAAACTCTTCTGCTTTATAATATTAGTATAGATTTAATAACAGGGGATATTGCCCTGTTGATCATGCGTTCTGGAGGTAGTCGCGTGTCTGGTTTTTCTTTATTACCCTTGTAGGCAGAAGAGTATACCGGCCACCTGATGGTGAATGGTTACCGTCGCCTATGGACTTCAGCAATGCCAGGGGCAAAGTCAAGCCTCTGCCTACCCAACCAAGCCGCTGCCTATTCTCCATAGGCGAAGTTCAGACGAGAGTGAAGAAAAACTATTTAGTGGGACGCTTCGGCAGTCCCTGGTCCCCAACCAATTGCATTACAGAAGCTGTGGCCTTATTAAGCCAAAATATCACATAACTATTTCGCTCTCTTCAATAGACCGAGTATCTATGGAAGGTTAACACGGTGAAGGAAAAAATGTGTGCGTGTACTAGTGTACACACGTAAGAAGTGAAACTTCTTTATGGCCTTATTTTTCGAAAAATGATCTACATGCAACTTTCTAGAAATTGGTTAAATAAAGTTAAATTAGATAAAGTTTAAACAAAAGGATTTTATTATCATAGACATGAATACAAAAAAGATGGCGCGTAACGGAAAAATGTGACGCGTAACCGAAAANTCTCTGTCAGTCAGTCAGTCGGTCAGTCGGTCTGTCGGTATATGCAACGAAACTGTCGGTTTACCCTGTCACTGTGAAAGTTGTGTGTGTTGAGTTTCAATAATTATTACTGAAAAGTTTTATTGACTAAACTGAGTTCAATCGAATACAAGCGATGACGAAACTACCGCTCAGCCATCCCTGGCGTCGCCTCCGACATATATATATGTATATTTTTTCGATTTCATACATATATAACTAATAATTTAACATGTCCTTACAATGAAGGTCTGGCACGTGAACACACTTACCTGTCCTTGTAATAGTCGTAGCCTCCATAATAGCCCCCATATTGTCCCCAGTTCTCGTGTTCTCTGGGATCGTTCTTCCTTCTTATACCTGTATGATTTGCGCACGTATTTAGAGAAACACTTTAATATTAATGTCATTTTATAATAGAGTTATCGGAGGTTTAATAAGGAATCTACAAGAAGATTGTCCAAAATTTGTGAAACCATTGGTGAAACCCGATTCTGTTTCGTGGTCTCGACCTAGATTAGAACCCCCTTCGTTGCCAGTGGACTCTTAAGATATTCCCCGGAGAATGGGCATTCTCTGATTATAATGTCAGGTTACACATTAATATCAGGTTGGTTGGTTAATGTCAGGTTAATATCACATGTAAGCCCGTATAGGTACCACCACCCTGCCTAATTCTGCTGCAAAGCAGTCGCGCATTCCGATTTGAAGAATGACCGTGGCTTACTACAGCTGGGACTGCGAATGTTAGTTACATTTTAAGATTCGCTAGATAGCTTATCAAATTGGCCTCAAATGACGTCATAATATACAATTTTGATAAAAACAACCTCCCAGCTTCATATCGAGCTGCGATATCTGCGTACTCAATGTTCAACACAAAGATACTGTATTCATATATCTTCAAACATCTAAGCAATTAAAAAATAAACTCACCAATCTGATAAGGAATGAAGTTCGTATCATCATGTTTCCTCTGTCCATAAGAACCGACGTATCCTCCACCCCATCTGTCTTCGGCCCGATTCTGAGTGGTCAGATAACCAGAATGCAGCAATCCTTGTCCGCGCAGACTATCAGGGCAATAAGGTTCCAAGCTATTCCGGTCGCGTTCGTAGAAATCATAGTCTTTGTCTTCAGCGAAGTCTCTTCGGAGATCGAAAGCTTCTATCGGTTTTGTCATGAGCTCGCAGAGGCTTTTGCCTCGGAACGAGGGGTCCAATCTACCAAACGGAGATATTTAAATATGGTTAAGCATAAGGGAGTGCATATAGAATCCCTTCTTTATTTCGCCTGGTCGTGTTTTATGTAATTAACACCACAGTTGAAACAATATAAATTTTATTGATATAGCGGCATAAAGTAATTACATTAAATTAGTTATTTAACACTTTATATATTATTTTTATGTTTTTCATATTTGGCGGTAAAAAGGTCTCGTGTCACAGACTATATGCTGTTTCCCACATCTGCGTTCCGGCTAACGCATCATAAAAAGGTGCGTACTTAAACGCCACAAGCAGTATTAAACAGAACTGCTCAATTCAACGGACAAGAGTGTTTTTTGTGGTACTGCGATCGTCATCCGTCATTTACGGGTGGTAGAGCGTGTTTTAAGGTAATTACTACACTCCATACATCGCAAGACGCGTCAAATCCACCCGGCACTATGACATCCCATCATGATGATCACTACCATGCCGTCAAGAGCGAAACGATTAAGAAGAACAATAGATATTATATTATAATGACTTGTCGCGAAATTTATTGAAACTTCACGCATATACCTATGGGATCAAAGAACCACTAAAATTATTGAATTACAGAAATTATTGGTGGTAGAGTGTCGTGAAAGTCTTCATGGATTGGTACCACCGCCCTGCCTATTACTACCGTGAAGCAGTAATGCGTTTCGGTTTGAAGGGTGGGGTAGACATTGTAATGTAAAAACTGAGAGACCTCAGAACTCATGTCTCGAGTTGGGGGGCAGCATTTGCATTGTAGATGGCTTTGGGCTCTGGTAGCCACTTAACACCAGGTGGGCCGTGAGCTCGTCCACCCATGTAGGCATTAAAAAAACCCTTATCGAATATCCGTTAGGCATAGATCCCCTACGACTTACTTAAGGGATAGAAAATCAACTCTATACTCGACTTAAGCTCGACCGCATGCATACTTTTACTAACATATTAAAATTCAACGAACAATATGCTAACAGAAAAATAAATAATAGTTTAAAAAAATTAACAAAATACGCTTTTATAGAAAATCCAACAAAAAAATAGAAAATAAATTTTACAATAAAATCATTTTTTCTTACACTATTTTTAGTTCAAATTTATAAAAAAAATTATCTATTTTTAGTTGGATTTTCAATAAAAGCGTATTTTGTTAGTTTTTTTAAACTATTATTTATTTTTCATTTTTTAGTTGAATTTCATTTTTTTCAATTTTTGTGTTGGACAATTTT